ATTTAAAGAACATCTTGTGTCATACACTGAAAGTAGTTTGGATGTAGAGAAGCTTCTCTTTAGTGCTACTTTAATCCTTATTTTATATTAAATATGTTGTTTCCTGTTTCTTATGTCGTTTCAACGTAAACTTCAGTGATTATAGTATGTAAAAAAACACTCTGATAATCACATCACTAATGCAAATTTAGCCCATTTGCAGCCTATGAGAAATCTTGAAATTTGATGACTTCATATTGTTCCATAAATCTTGTTCTTCTCGCTTTACTAAAATGTATCTCTTTTCTCAAATGTTTCAGAAAATTAACATAAATGGATGAAGAATTCTTGAAGGTATCAGTTTTTTTCGGAAGATCTTTTAACTGAATAAATATACAACTTTTCTCATAGTGTTAGTCTACATTTGTAAATTATAAACATACTTTTATTTAGTATATATATATATATATATATATATATATATATATATATATATATCTTCTGAGGAGAACAGTTCCTTGTTAAATGTATCCATTTAGAAAGAATATAGTACGACTTGACATTTATTATAAATTTTCTTGGAAATAGTTTAGTCTTAGACAACGAATTAAAATGTATTGAAATATAAAACACAACACCTATCTACCTAAAATTTATGCTATGATATGATGAATGCACCAAGACAGCAAAACATTTATCTAACTCACTACTAGTTTATCTTGTTATCTAAATTGTTTCTCGTAATTAGATTGTTGTTATTACATTTTTCAAGCAAGAAGTATAAATCAATATATATATATATATATATATATATATATATATATATATATATATATATATATATATATATAACCGATTCGATAGTAAGTGGAATATAGCGGTCGCATAAAGGTTAGAACCCGCAGAATACTTGCTGATTCATAACATATTTTTTTGATTTTGTAATACATTAGCTTTTATAAATTCTATTTACATAGTGGTAATTTTTAAATCAGATTACGATGTTTTGATATTTTCAGTCTGATTGTGAGTGATAAAGTTATGATTAGAATTGTCTGTATTAGTTACCCAGACAGTCACTCGTGCACATTGTGGAACTCTACAAATATATGTTTCGTTTCAGTTGCCATACCACACTAGTACAGCAAGATAGAAATACTTCAAGACAAATTACCGAGTTGTAGGAGTAGTAACAGTGTCAGTGGTAGAAAAGAGAAGATATAGGGAAAGGAAAAACGATATTAGAAATTTCGAAGTTAATGCTTCGTACGAAGAAAAGGAGTGTATGCACTAACGATTCTTAGTCATTTATTACGATAATAATGCTGACCACAACGCGGTCGTCTACATCTATTAATATGGCCCAATTAAATTACTAATAACTTCATTCACCAGTGTCATTTTCTGGTTTGACCGTCCCTAGTTTTCTTCTAACCTACACCTACACTAGACAACGTTCCCCGTCAAGGTAGGCAGTGGGCATACGTAACGCATGTTCAATCCTTAACAGGTTTCTAACTCAAACTAGAAAACGGTACCTTTGTCTATTACTTATAGTTTACCTGAAAAATAGTCCGAAACTCAATAGGCAATTAGGAGCATTTTCAAATCAAAATACTAAAACATTGTCTCAAAACTATGAATGAATCATGAAGTTCATTTTCTGAGGGAATATTGAGGATTTTCTATGCTACCACATTTATGTTGTAGGAAAAATCTTTGTATATCATAATTAGATATAGCATTTTGATCATTCTGAGGTATGCCTTTCCAAAGAATCAGATAATGGGACTTAACAGATGACATGAGACTGAGAAAACTAAAAGGATAATGTATCATAACTTAGTGTTTCCAGTAAAAGTTGAAGCAAGAATGGACCTTGACGGAACAATAAGTTTCAGCGATTAATACAAACCAAGCAACCTATCATTACTACCGTTGACTGCATCACTGTTCGATCGTTTCTAACTAATCACTTGTTTAGATCACACATTCGCAACGTTTATCAAACATTTTTAATTGGCAGTCCAATGAACAGCCCAAATATTTGACTTGATTCAAACGTTAAATGCCTTAGAACAGTTTTAATTGTTCGGTATGCGAAATTTGGTGAAGAATAATATAATATAAAGTTTTGAATGAGATGTATTTTTACTTCGGACTGAATTTCAGGTTAGCCTCATAAGCGATAGACATGTTTACAAAATTAAATTGATTTAAACAACAAATTTGTCCTTTTATTGTCTCAATCAACACTGAATTGGTGATAGACAAAACGTTCACACATAAGAAACATAACATTTTAAATTATGATTAATGAGTAACTCATATGTTTATGATGTAATATCACTTTAAGGTTTATAGTAACGGCATGTTTTATAATCTTAGTGAGTGATTGTAGCAAAAACGCTTACTATGAATATTTTCAAGTCCAAAGGTTTACCATGATAGGGGTGTATATATTTCTTATATGGGATGATGCACAGAAAATAAAATGTGAGGATAATACATTTTGTTTAGTGAGATTGTTTTTGGTGTATTTTTGATTTGTTTATCAATGAACTACCCTCAGATAAATGTTGATGTTTCGCTTCATTATTTAGTAATAACTGAAGTAAAGCAACTGGAGAATTTGGCTGTTCATCTAAATATTGTATCAGTTTAATAATCAGACTGAATTCACAAACATTGCAATTCAACTAAACTTTAAATATAAGTTGACTACATCGCATGTAGATAAGAAATGCAAGGAATAAACACAAGTTTTATCAAGTTCTATATCATTTCGTAATCATAAATGAAATTGAAAAATTCTAGCTTTTTTCATAAACAGCCACTCGGGTGATCAGCGAGTTCATAAATCATATATAATATGATGGGTTAATATGCTATAATGCTCCGAAAAACAATAAATTACGTAACTCTTTTTTGAGATTTTATAACTGCGTGGTAACATTGCGACTTGCATAAAACTCAATTTTGATAGCCTTGTTATGTTAAAGTTCAAAACATGGTATTATTTCATAATAAACAAAACCTTATTGTCTCAGTTTGTAAGGGATAATACAAATGACCCTGTAATGACCATCACTGAAACGAAGTGTTGTGGTTTCCAAAATCTTAAAGTTCAGACAATTCTTAGGTACAACAAGCCTATTTTCATCGATGAATGTTAGATCGAAATAACAATTTATCAACTATGTTATTACTCCTTGATAGCATTCGAAACTTAGGCAAGATTACCGATTACTATTGGAAGTTGTTTTTCACTCCTCTGTACTAACATTCAGATGCAATAATAAAGTGGACTTTCGCCGATGTATCGAAAAGGTACACTGAGCTATGAAAAGCCTTAGAGTTTAACACAGTCCTCCATATCATGGCTAACGAACAACTAGCGTTTGAACTAGTCAAATCGAGCAATGTCCATAAACGATATTTGGATATTCCATTGTTTTAACCTAGACACGCCTCTGGTACTAATCAAATCTAGTAGATGTTCTGTCGCTAACTTGTAATAGTTTTGTTTATTAAGAACGCTAGCAATATGTAGCTTTTAAAACCGCTTGTGGAGCATTTCGATGACTTTTAAAACAGGTTTTTTAAGTTTAAGTAGAATATCGGTCCCGATTTTTGCCTCAGTTTGATGCTTAACCTGACCATAAGGATTTAAGCGGTTGAGTAAGGTGGCAATCCTACCCATCTTGAAAGCTTTAGTAGCTCTAATAGACTAAAAGTTGACTAAATATTGACACAAATGCGGAAGTCTTTTTCGATTTCTGTTAACTTATGCATTTTATAGTGCATATGTATACCTGTGAATAAAAAAGCATGATAGTTTTAAGGCATAAACACTGGACGAATTGGTCGTAGTTATTTTTTATGCAATGGCCGTCCATAAGGCCATAGACTTAAATGTGGCATATATTAGGACACAATCCATTTTCCTAAAACACTTAAGCTGTATTATTCCAATTTTTCACCTTACTATTTCATCCGACTTTTAAGACTAGATTTCCATGTTAATTCCGTACAAAGGATGGTTATATGAATCAAAAAATTGCTTGACCATACGTTTCTGGTGCAATTATGTGTACATATGACTTTTAAAGAACTGTATAATTCCACAACTTACAATGACTAATGGATTTTAACGGTCATGCAAGGATTAAGCAACGACACCGATGTTTTAAGTCATCAAACATTTCAATTTTTACACCTACTCACTACGTCACGTCAACTAAGGTTATTGAATTACGAACCTATACTGACTAAAAGTTTAAATTGTTTCGCGAACGAAGCATATGTGGATATACATATTTTGCTAGGATCCACCACAAGCAATACCATTTATGAAACTGAGAATTTTGTTTAGAGTTATAGCAGTGTGAGATAGCAAATCATCTAGCTGTCATTATTTATAAGAAAAGTCTAAAAATTATCATTGGGAAATAAGTGAAGTTGAAAAATATGAACGTGGAGATACTAGTTCAACTTGTGTTTCAATACCTGCGAACCATCAGTGAATAAAACACCTATGGGGGAATGTAAATTGCTAGTTTGGCTGCCTTTACTAAAAGTGCAAGATATTAAAAAGCATATACATATAAATGCATCTTAGTATTCACTTACTTAAAAGTGAGCAACAATAAGTTAAGGAAAAAGTCATTGACATCTGTTCGTATTAAAGCAAAATTAGTTAGCGATGAACTTTTGTTGTAATATAATGCATTCATATTGATTTTCATATCTCTCTAATGATTTTTTATTTAGTTAAATGAAAGCTATTCAAAAACTTCATCATACACATACATATTCAGACGTGTTTTCTAATAGGATGTTTATTATAGCCAAAACGTTTCTATGCTACCTACACAGTGGAGGTGGAAATGTTGATCTCTTTATCAATGCGAAAGTGCACCAGAAAACGTTTTCACAATAAGTATGACTTACAAGATTTACAAATAACTTCAGGGACAAATGTCCTCTTTGAAGAGGATTATCTTCATGTGAAAACTTACCGAAACTTTGGACTGCATAGGCGCTTTAACCTGAAACATTTTTTCATGAAAATAACTATATTTACCTTCACAAAATTATCTGGAAAAACTCCGATGCGGCCATTTAAACATCCAATATACCAACCCTCCTCAAACTGGGAAACATCCCTGATGATATCCCCTTTTTTAATTGTCAATTCGTCATTTTCTTCAGCAGTATAGTCGTACTCAACAATAACTTCCATCTCGTTAGATATATCCGAAAATGTTATTTAGTAAAATATGATCGCATAACTTTCACGTTCTTGACTGATGAACTGCCGAAACATGCGAAAAGGTAGCAGGTTATTTAGGGACCAACTCAGCTAAATCGAAATTCCGGTCACAAATAGCTTTTCAACCAGCCTCCGCACAAACTCACGCTGTCTCGAGTGACAACAGGATCCCAAGGTACGCGCTGTTTATCGACCTTGCTAAAACAAACACGCGCGCTGAGTACAAAACGCGGGAACAACAAATAATATTCACTTCAATTAGATCGCAATCATGCTTTTATCTGATATAAGTGAATGTATACTTAAATTTATTGTACTAATTAAGTTAATTTGATAAACGATCATTACAATGGTTTATATAGCTTAACTACAGATAAATTTATGTTTTTATCTTTTGTGAGTATCAGCTGCATCCATTAATTTTTCATCATTGACTCGAGAGTTTTTTTTATTGGTTTGATATTTTTATATCAATATTCGTGAATATTATATCTAACGACGATCCAACTGATAACAATATTGTTCATCTAAGTTTGTTGTTCCACTCTTCACAGCACGAATGTCTTTGAGAGATATTACAGAGTATGTAGAATTCGTTTCTACTTTGAACGATATTACCACTCTCGACAAAGCTTACTGGTAAATATTATGTATATGATGATGGTGATTCTAGTACTAATGTCCCTATAAACACAACTCATTTACAAAGGGTAAGGTTATAGCATTAGTTTAATGATATTGGCATATCAATTAGGTTGTGCACATCCAACTCTAGTATAGTTTGATTATTTACTTTTAATGCACATGGTGGTTAGCCCAATCACTGGAATATATACATTTTGAAACATTTTATTAGAGTTCATATCCCTTCTATGCACCCTCGATTATCAAGGTAAACACAACTATTCGTACGGATTGCATTGGCTGCGGTTAAACTCAACTCTGTTTCTTAATAGTGGCAGTCTGCTTAGTCGCCAATCAGGATGAAGAGGGAATTATTATATCTGCCATCTTTGTAAGCAATGGTGGTCGGAGACACTAGAGAGCTAAGCGGAAGTGTAGACCGATGTGCGATACCATTCAAGGTACCCCTGAGTTACTAGTGTTCCAGTAGTGTGTGTAGAAGCAGTTCTCGCTTATCATGGAGCATTTGAGTAGGCAGGAAAGGTTAAAACATGTGTAACGCGTGTCCACTCATCATCTGCCGTGATACATCATAGTGGCTAGACGAGGTGTAAGAAGGCCCGTGTTTGTAGGTTATCGAAGAAAATAACGGAGATGTGTGCCATATCACTTACATTTATTACATATAAACTAGGCGCTGAGAGGCTTGCGTTTCACAAATTTCCCACAACGGTTAACTTGATGAAACTAGATAGCGTCAGATTTACAAATTTGTTCAGGAAGTTTCGTTAACGATGGAATATCAAACGAAGTTTTACGAGGGGTTTTCATTGGAAACTCGCATCGGTTATTATAAGCAGTAGTCCTTGTTATTTTTTTAAACAAAGGGGTAAAAGAAGCAACTAAAAGAATTAAATTTGTCAAAATAATCTACTAACAGTGCTGCTTTGATGTTAAATGTGGATGGTATATTCAAGAGTTCTTCAGAGTGTTCTACCCACCTGTTCCTATGTACTTGTATTTCAGCGGTTGACTTGTCTTCGTTTTTCTTGACTGGTTGACTGGTTGAGTTTCAATATTTCTCCGCTAGTATCCTTGCCGTATCACATGGTCGTTTCATATTTCCTTCTCTTGCATATTTTTCCGTCGTCGTTGCTAGCTCTTCCACGTCTAGCTCATTGTCGACTCCAGTGCTTCTCTTCACTTACTCGTTTGCTTCTGTGTATTCAGATTACGAATTGACTTCCTCTGTTCTTGTTCAACTAATGCCAATCACCGTCGTCTTGTTTTTTCTTTCTTGAATCCAAAACAGAGTTTCCATAGAGATCCACTCCTTGTGGTCATGCTCCTTGCGACCTACAACCTCCTGACACGTTGAAATCAGTCCTTCTTTGATCCTTTTCCAGTTTTCTCCATTGTAGTTTCTTCGTCTTTCAGTAGATCATATAAGGCTTGGAACCTGTTGTTGATAGTAATCTTGAATTCGTTAATTTTATCAGGATGTCGAAGAAAGGCTGCTTTAAACCTTTTTCATGCTGTTAGTCCAGTTGTCTATTGATGCTTTAGCTTAAGATTATTCTTTGCAAACACAAGGTGGTGATATAAAGCTATGTCATCTCCTCTTCTGCTCTCACTCCTTACACAAACCCAAATATTTCATTGACGTGATTGTTATTTACATGTTTTTTGTAGTGTTATCCAATCAGAACCATGTACCTTTATGCATGAGTTTGTGGGAGAATACTGTTGAATGCACATAAATTTCTCAAAATTACCACCATTTTCATCCTTTTCTCCGGAAGAGCTACAGTCGTAGTTTTGCTTAAAATAGTGAAACTAGAACCACATTTACGATTTCGCTTTACAATTTATTCGAGCAAACACATGTTCCTTTTGGTCCGTTTTATTCTATTACACTACACTAGCTGTAAGATCCATTTAATATTAGTAATCTGGGAGACTGCTATTTATAGTAGACTTTTATTGATGATGAAGCGACCTACAAAGGTTTGACAACTTTTGAGGGTCGAATAAGAATGACAAGTCACTGTGAGGAATTACTATTAGGAGGTATAAGGTGGATAGACCATAATCGTACCAAGGTTACTTCAGTGTGTTGTAAGTCCAGCATTCCTAATCAACTGCTCTCTTCCTAGTTGATCCAACTGGAACATACATCCGTTTTTGCGAACACAAGACTTAGGAATCAGTAACTAGTTACTTGCTAGGGTAGTCATCTGTATTGTTGAAATTTCAAATGCCTTTCAGGTCCTATTATTATGTAGAACAAGTTGACTTACCTCCATTATATCTCTACTTCAAAACCTTCATCTTGCGTTATTCCTCCTTAAATAGTTTCATATTTCACATTTCGGTCTACTGGGTAACATAGGCAGTAATAGTGTTGTCACCAGTACTTGCCCTGTAACTGCAAGAACGACTAGCAAAGATAGAGATCAAAGTACAGAGAATTTCTCCGTTCCTAGAAGCATGGTAACACTATAAAACGAATCTCAGAGTAGTGTATGAACTGTGGATCACACAATCCAAACACCGGAAAGGAATCTTCTACTAGGCAATCACGATCACACTCCTATTCCATTCCCTATCACTAGTAAGCCTAGTGGGAAAATCGAAACAGGTGAACAAAGAGTCACAAACTGTCTGTTGTGCTGACTACTAGGGCGAAGCAACTCACAAACGATGTTTGCATCGCATACTCGCCGGTCGTTAAAACCAGGGACATGACATTCGAATGCGATTTCTGCAGTGTTTGGATTCACTATTAAAGATGTCGTGGGTGAGCGTTGGGAAGGGTAACGGCGAGATCGTAGCTCCAAAATTGCTAAAAGTGAGAGATAACGACATAAAACGAAACTCCTTGATTTTACCTCACTTCTCGGTATCGAAGTGTAGCTTATTAGAAGGTAGGCCAGCCTTCAACAAAAACAGTGGAACCGATACTTCACAATGTTGGGAGGTGGTATCACTGCAGCCAAGTTATGCCACTGGTATAAGGGCCAACACGTAGCAAACGTGAAACCCCACCAGTAAATGTAAATTTAGATTCAGTACACGTTACGGATGATATTTAAGTGAAACCCCAGTGACCAGCAGTTAAATAAACTTAAGAGATTTAACTGATGATCTTCAGGCCGAGTACAGCTCGTGAAATGATTTTCGCAGCCATAGATGTCGCGGTACTGAATTAACTGAGGTGACAGAATCACGCTGTTGCTTTAATGAGAACAGTGGAAAGTACTTATTCGAAGGAATATATGGGCCCTTTTACAAACTATCTGATTTTAAAAGAAGAGATGGTACAAGCGATTCTAAAGCTACTATCCACGGGGTTTCACAAAATCCTAATGAAGATGCCACAGGTATTTAAAGTTTGACAACGCTTTAACAAGTAGCACCTAATATGAATCGTACCCACTAAGTGAAATCAAAAGACGGAAGAGAGGAGGTTAGAAGATATGTTTGACAGGCTATCAATATATCGGGGATCGATTGATCTAATCTGGCTACGATTGCAGGGGATGGTGAGCACGGCGTTCCCTTCGTGATCTGGTGCAGATACATGACGGAGTCCCTTCAGCTAGGTGACTCCATTAAAACCAATGTGGTCAGAATCCAATCTCGAAGACTTACAGAGTTAACTACTTCAGGGAATTATTTACCGCTACACTAATATTCGGAGGCTTGAAACCTCATCCCTAGATCTCAACACCCAGGAAGCAACTCCCGTGTGCTTGTTGCATATGCGGCTTTTCACAGGTGTTGGATGCTCATCATTGACTGAACTTGTGGGTGGCTTCATACGATGAAACAGAAACAGAAAACCCCAAAGATAAGATTACTTACTTACAAGCGATCAGTTTTTGTTGAGGACGTCCATGTTCACGAACTAATAAGAGGAAGCAACCATGGTACAGTCATGTTTAACGTGGTCACAAACGAGATACTTCGGGAGGATGAGAATGTTTCTTACCTTATCTACGAGCTAAGGTGAAATTGGAAGTGAATGTGTGCTCCTCAAAGTTAACATTTGTACGATGTGCTATTACTGAACAGATAATAATATGTGAACTAATAGCACAATACGAAAGCACAAACCCATTTATTAACTTGTTTATGTATCTGCATGAATATTTTATCACAAATTTTTATTGATGTTGCATATTTTACCATCTCACTGTGTAATATCTTATCTGTAAATCCATGTTGTATAATATTGATCATTCCCATAGATATCGTGTATGTCAGGTTTGCCAGAAATACATTATTATTAATTTTCTTTTGCATGAAAATTTATCCTCTGTTTCTAGAACCAGTGTGTCATATGACAGTTGAGTGACCTATTACAGTGAATCCTGTGACATCTGTAACATTTGATATTGTCAGTCAACTGCAAGCTAACCCCAAGTATCTCTACAGGCTCATGTCATATATGTTAAAATTTATACAACTTGCTCCTTTATATTCTATTTTGCCTCCACACAGATACTGACATAAATACTTCATCTCTACTACTATCTTCCTGCCATTGTCATCTTTTGTTTTTAACACCACTAATCCTCAC